TACGGTTGGAGTTTCGCGGCGCTACCATCACCTCGGACGCCGGACTGCTGGCCTGTCGCGAGCTGGATGATGCACTGGGACTGACGGAGACGGCGAGTGAGTGTCTGCAGGAGAGTCGGGGCGGTCGTAACGTGCAGCACCGATTGGTGGGCCTTCTCAGGCAGTCGGTGTACAGTCGTCTGGCGGGCTACGAGGATACCAACGACGCTGAACGGCTGGCCCAGGACCCGACGATGCGGGTAGTCGTTGGACGGCGAGGTGGTCCTGAGAGACCGGCCGCCAGCACCAACACCATGAGCCGGTTCGAGACCGAGGTGCTTACCCAAGACGGCAATGTCGAAGGGTTGGGCCGAGTGAACGCTAAGTGGGTGGACCGGGCGATGACGCACACAGCGCACCGGCGGGTGATCTTGGACATGGACAGTTCGGAGAGTCCGGTACATGGAGGACAGGAGGGAGCGTCGTACAACGGACACTTTGGGAGCACGTGCTATCACCCTTTGTTCGTGTTCAACCAGTTCGGTGACTGCGAGGGGGCGATGCTCCGTGCGGGGAACGTACATAGCGCGCACAGGTGGCGTGATGTATTGGATCCGATCCTGTCCCGCTACGGGGCGACAGGAGTGCGGCGGTACTTTCGTGCCGATGCCGCATTCGCCAAGCCGGACATCTATGAGTACCTCGAGGAGCGGCATGTCCTTTACGCTATAAGACTCCCCGGCAACGAGGTGCTGCAACGGGAGATCGCCCCTCTGCTCAGGAGGCCGGTGGGGAGGCCGCCGAAGCGTCCAGTGATCCTATACGACGACTTTTGGTATCGTGCCGGGAGTTGGGACCGCGCTCGGCGGGTGGTGGCCAAGGTGGAGTGGCATAGGGGAGAGCTGTTCCCCGGGTGGGCTTCATCGTCACGAACATGACGGCTGGCCCCGAAGGAGTGGTGCGATTCTACAATGGTCGCGGGACAGCCGAGCAGTGGATCAAGGAGGGAAGTACGCCCTGAACTGGACTCGGCTGTCGTGCCATCGGTTCGTGGCCAACCGGGTGCGTCTGTCTCTGTTCGTCCTGGCGTACAACCTTGGGAACTTCCTTCGCCGGCTGTGTCTGCCCAAGGCGGTCAAGCACTGGTCGCTGCGGAGCGTGCAGGTCAAGCTGATCAAGATGGGAGGCCGTCTGGTGCGGCACGCCCGGTGGTTGATCTTTCAGTTGTCCGAGGTGTCGGTTCCTCGACGGTTGTTCCAGGGAGTGTTGGATCGTATCGGCCGGTTATCGCCGGCGCCAAGCTGAGGGAGGGTACAACCACGATCTTGCCAAGAGGGGGAGAGCGCTCCAGGGAGTCGCTTGTCTTCAATGCGCTTTCACCCCACTGGCGGGGGCCCGAAGACGACAAAGACGGACAAGAAACATGGTTCACGGCAAGAATCGCATCCCTTATCGGATAGACCGGCGATTGACTGGCCTTGCAGGACCTGACTATGATGCCACTATCTCGTTTGGGCTGCCCTTTGAGCCGGAGAAGACTCCATATAGGAACTATCGGTCTCATCGAGGTCGAACTACAAACGCTCGGCGGTACAAACAGTCCCGAGGGTGGTCGGCGTACAGGGCCGTATAATGTTCCAGACCTCTGTACTGAGGCCATCCATCGCTTCCGTCATATGTCCACCGGCGCGGGCTGTCCATAGTCCGGCGCCTTTCGAGGAGTATGTCATGACAGCTTCCCGACACAAGGTACTGATCGTAGGCAACCAGCGGGTGCGCGACGAGAGCCTCTGCCTGCGGACCTGGACCGGACTCTCCGCGATTGCGGACTGGGAGTGGCTGCATCTGGAGGGCGGTGCGCGTTCGGCCCGAATGAGGACCCCGACGCTATCAGGCAGCTGATCGAACATGTCGGCGACGTCGACTGCGTCGTAGTGTCCCACGGCTCCCCGATGATCAGCGCCGAAGTCATGGACGGCGCCCCTAACCTCAAGATCATTGGCGAGCTGGAGGGAGACAGGTTCGCCTACCGCATCGACGTGGAGTCCGCCTGGGAGCGCGGCATCCGCACCGTCGATACGACCCACGGTTCCTCCTATCCAGTTGCCGAATGGGCTCTTGCCCTGATTCTCATATCCCTCCGCAATGCGGGAGCGAGCTTCAGGAGTATCCTGGCGGGAGACGCCCCCCAGTCCACTCACAACGATTTCGGATACCTCCACGGTGAGCTATCCGGCAAACGGGTCGGACTCATCGGATGCGGCCACATCGGACGCAGGCTGGTCAAGTACCTGAGACCGTTCGAGGTGGACATTCGCGTTTACGATCCCTATCTGGCCAGCGAGATGCCGGACGCGATAGGTGTCGTGAAGACCTCGCTGGAGAACGTACTCTCGAAGTCCAACGTCATCGTCTGCCTGGCTCCCCTCACGCCCGCCACAGAGGGAATGGTCGGCAGGCGCGAGTTGGACATGATCCCTTCCAACTCGGTGTTCGTGAACGTGTCGCGTGGAACCGTGGTCGACAGCGACGCCCTCATAGCGCGCCTAAAACGCGGAGACATCGTCGCGGGGCTGGACGTGTTCGATCCCGGAGCCGATTCCACCGGACAGTGAGATCATTGGCTCCCCAAACACCTTCCTGAGCCCGCACATAGCGGGCGTGACGCTGACAAGCTACCAGCGCTTCTTTACTCTGATGGTCGATGAGCTCGAGCGGTTCTTCCGAGGGAGAGGAGCCGCTCTTCGAGCTGACCCCGAGGTCGCTGGCGAACCGGAGAGGATCGGCGACGCCTCAGGGCTGAGCAGGGAAGTGCTACGCCTGGCGGCAACTCGGACCGTTCGATGGTTATCGTGGAGGATGGCCGGGCCTGGAGGCTCCGCCGGTGTCGTCGCGGTCTGCAGGGGCTGGGAGCAGTCAAACTAGGCCCACCAAGCTGGACGAAATCAGAGAACCTTCACTCTCTGGACTCAATAGCTACGGAAACGTACGGTACTCATGGGCGGTTGACCTATAGAGAAGACTGACAGTGACAACACTTGAGGACCCGCTCAGGCCGGAGGGCTGATGTCCCCGCCAACGGGTCGCGTCGCTACTCCGCCTTTCGGTAGTCCTCGGTGGCCTCAGTAAAGAAGGCATTACCTCGACGGAACGTTCGATGACCAGATGCCAGATATGCAAGTTACAGTCCTCCCCATGAATGAGATCGAATTTGCCTGACGGGCAGTTCGATTGGGATCTCTCTGATCGAGGATCAGGACCTATATACCATCGTGATCACGACCTATATACCACCTCGTCAGGTGGGTGACGGCCCCTGGACACCGTGGTATGCGGACTATTATCACCCTGCGGTTTGAGGGTCAACCACCTCCTTTGCATCCAGTCCGTCCAGCAGAGCCCTGTGGGGTGACAAGCGTTCGCGGTAGCTGGCGCCTTCTATGACGATCTGGTAGCTGGCGTTGGCGAGCCGGTCGAGGGCGCTGTTGCCGAGGATGGGGTCGTCGAAGAGTCCGAGCCACTCGTCGACAGCCCTGTTGGAGGTGATGACGAAGCTGGCGGTACGATGCCTGGCGATGACCAGCTCGTAGAGGTCTATGGACTGCTGTTGGGTCATCCTGTGGAGACCGAGGTCGTCGAGGATGAGCAGGTCCGGGGCGAGGAAGGAGCGGAAGGTCTTGTCCGTGGAGTGGTCCACCCTGGCCTGAGCCATGGCCCTGAAGAAGTCGTCGGCATGTACGAAGCGGACGGTATGCCCGGCTCTGACGGCAGCATATCCGAGGGCCTGAGCGATGAAGCTCTTGCCCACGCCGACCGGTCCGACGAGCAGGACGTGCTCGTTGCGGTCCAGGAACTGGAGGGAGAAGGCGGCGTCTAGGAGTCGTCGGTCGAGTGTGATGGATGCGGACCAGTCGAAGTCTTCGAGGCGGCAGGTCTGCTCGAAGCCGGCCCTCTGGAGGCGGAGCTCGAGCCGCCTGTGGTCTCTGCGGTTGATCTCATCGGTCAGTATGATCTGCAGGAAGGATGCGTAGTCGATCTGATCCCTGCGTGCGAGAGCGACCCTCTCCGGCAGGGTGTTGAGCACGGCGCCGAGCTTGAGGCGCTTGAGCAGCGGGGTGAGTTCAGTCGTGGTGGTCATGAGCGTTCTCCTTGTGCTGATTGAGCGGTGCGGCCGTTGGCACGAGCGAAGACGGCGCCCGGCCTGGCGAATCGACCTGGGGGCATCGGTGGAGGCTCCGGCTGCGTGGCCTCCTGCTCCAGGGCCTCGACGAGTATGCGCTCGAGACGGCGCACGTCGATCAGGTCTACGGAGAGAGCCCTCCGGCATGCGGCATCGAGACGCTCAGGGGAGTAGCGTTCTCCCAGGCGTATGAGCTTGTGTCCCTGCCTGAGCTTGGCCCATGGCAGCGGGCCGTCGAAGAGACGCTCGGCATAGGCCGCCACGGCCGGTCCCTGTGACGCCGCGCTGCGCTTGATCTGCTCCGGCGCTCTGAGGGTGTAGGCGCTCAGCTCTGCCGGGTAGTCGTCGGGGTCGGTGGATCTGCCGCCGCGATCCTGGCGCGGGTGGACCTTGATCAGCCTTCCCCGGTGGTAGATGCGCACCAGTTTGCTGCCGAGCCGAACCTCCACCTTCTGCCCGGGTGGGCATGTCGCAGAGGGCACCGAGTAGAGGGCGTACTGGCAGGCTATGTGATGGTCGGGATGCACCTTGGCCGTGCGCCAATCGGTCATCTCGTAGGGCTCTGCGTCCCACTCTCCGAGCGTGTGGCGCTCCTCCTGGCGGAAGACGGTCAGGGGCTGCCTGCGGGTGGTGCCGTGTATCCTCTGTCCGGCCACCTCCAGGCACCACCGCCTAGCAGCAGACCTCATGTCCGAGAGGCCCGGTGAACTCCCCGCCCTTGAAGAACCGCTCCCGCACGTAGGGCACCCCACGCTCCACGCGCGGCTTGTCCCGGGGATGGCGCACCCGCGCCGGGTCTGAGATGAAGCCCCGGTGCTGGGAGTACTCCAGGAAGCCGCGCGTGAGACGGGGATGGAGCGGATCGACACCCGCCACTGCCGCGGGGAAGTTGTCAATGACCAGGTAGTTGGGAACGCCCTCGAAGAAGGCCCAGGCAGCCTCCAACCCCTCGATCACGTCCACAAGCTTCTGGCTGAACGTCGGCCAGACGAAGCTGTGCCGCGAGTAGGTCAGGACGATGATCAGCGCCCAGACCGCACGGCGGCGACCGGTCTCCGGGTCCTCTATCAGGCCCAGACGACCGAAGTCCATCTCCGCCACCTCGCCTGGTGCGCTCTCCTCCATCCGCACCGTCGTGGCGCTTCGTCTCTGCCAACCCCGCCGACGGATGAACCGCCCCACAGACGCGTACGAGACCTCGCATCCACGAGCCGCAAGCAACTCGTGGATGCGGGTCACCTGCAACCGATCGGCCGTCAGCCACGCGTACACCTGGTCGGCCCACGGAGCAAGCTTCTCGTCGGTCGGCGTCTCAATCTTCCGAGGGCTGCACAGGGTCAGCCCCACCAGGCGGGTCAACTGATCTTCACTCGGAACCGGGCCGTCTCGTGTCAGGCCCGCCTCCACCCCCGCCCTGATGTATCTACGGACTGTCTTCCTCGACAGTCCCGTACCGCTAGCTATCTGCCGCTGACTCTCACCGGACTGCCAGCGGCGTACCACTTCTGCTATCTCCACTCTAGACACCTCCCTGTACGCCATCGCCGCTCCTTACATCAAGGTTGCAGCTATGGTCGCCAATCAGGTGTCCGGGGTGGTCCCCCTCACTGATTAAGTGGTCTATAGGTCCTGATTATTTCTCGATCTACCGGTACCTAGCTCTTGATCATTGACATTGCCCTGTCCCGACAAGTCACAGCCGAACGGCGTGCTTGGCCCGATCAGCGCGGTGGGCTCCCAGCCACACGATGCCATCGAAGACGTCGCCCCGATCGATAGAAGGTATGTATCACCTTGTAGCTGGTCTTTGCTCTCAGCCTGCTCAGCCAGTGGCAACCCCTGTCCGTGAGCCAGTCAACCAGGCGAAGCCGAAGTACCCAAGTCTGCCACCACCAGTGTTCCCGCCGGCAGCTCTTCCACCAGCTCCCGCGCCAACACCTTCTCGTTCTGATGTGGGTCCGGCTGAAACATGACGGTCCGCCACTGCTGGCGTCTCAGGTCGAACACGCCTGCCAGCTTGCCAGGGAGCAGACGGCTGTCACCCTTCGGGATGTCTCTCATAGTGAGCAGCCTTCTCGACATGGTGTCCAGTGTACTCTCGTCTATGCACACGACCTCCTCGGCGAAGGGCGCCAGCCTATTCGAGACCATCCCCTGCACTCGTTCTGCCAACACGCTGCTGATCTGCTCGAAGAGCCTCTCCAGTGGCTTGGTTCCCGCGCTATGGAGCCGCTTGTAGACCGCCTGGTCTGTAACCGGGAAATCGGGGGAAGAACCAGAGTCCGCGTTCCGAGATGAGACGCCACACCGCCAGTTGACTTTGCCAAAGCCTCTCAGGACACAGACCAGCAGTCCCGCCCACAGAGCCATTGCGGGCAGGATACGCGGCCTGCCAGGGCCCTTGAACCTGTGGTCTGGCTCCATGTCCTCCAAACACTGCTGGAGAAACTCCTCTATGTTCCCGACGGTGTCTGTGTCGTCGCCGGTCCTGGTGGACATTACAAAGTTCCTCCTGCCGAGTAGTCAAATCCTTTTACTACTCAGAGGAGTACTATCCAAAGGCAAAAACGGTTCTCATACCAATTAGTTGGAGCAGATGGTTTCAA